CGGGACTGCTCAGATATCTTGGAACCCCATACATTGAAACCACATGACGGCAAAAGAATTCGAGCCTGCGGATGCATAGTGGGTTTTGACTTGAGATTTTCGAGTCCACCTTGATCACTCGGATAGTGTCCGACGGACACGTTGTCTGCGGAAGACTTGCGTTTCCTATGCCGCAAGTTTTTCATTTCCTGAGTCAGGGATCCTGACATGGTTGTTTCAACGCTTGTTTATCAGCTCGCTGTAGCGACACTACCCACCTGCATCCTCACGAACAAATAACGGTTCATTAGCCATGTTCCAATCTCTCTTTAGCCGTCTTGTAGCTCCCTGTTCTCGTTCTCAAATACGGTCGCACTTTGGAACAATATGAATCAGCCCTACGGGCATTTCTGAACGAAATATGGACAGCTCAACACACACGATATGATCGGGGACAGCTGCACATTTTATACCCTCGGCGAAGTACTTCGCCAAGCGTAGATTATACCAGCATGCTCGTATAGCGCCTTGCCCTGGCTGAAGACAACCCAGCAAGCATAGTTTACATGAATGAGCAAGTATAATAACATTTGAAAGACGCAGTTGGTAAAGTACGTATATGATGGCACAGTCGCGCATGCCTGCGATGCGGCATCTGATCCACATTGATACTTCGAGTTGAAAAATGCTTTCATCACGGTGATGGAGACCATTAGACATTAGTATCAGACCCTTAGATTCTTGACTCAAGATTCCGGGGCGTGACATGAGTGATCTGCGACACAGCGGGGCCAGTAATGATTCTAAACAAGATGTTGAGCCTCCAAGGAATGCATCCACTGCCACAACATGTGACGTAGAGATTACCTGTAAACGATGTTCACCTCTGTGCCCGTTATAAGCGAACTACTACCAGCTACGTAGCTGATGCTTCGTACTGAGTGACCTTGCACAAAAATTTCCACGAACGAATGAATTGATAGCTCAACACTCATGAGTGACACATGATACGATCAATTGCAAGAACAAGAAGACGAATCTTCGAGGAGCGTAGAATGGACATGCACTTGCTCATAGCGCACAAACCATTAACCGCAAAACGTCAAGTGCCTTGCATATCTCAATAGATATATAATTATAATACCAAAAACGAAGATGCGAGATCACCCCCACAGCCCGATTGTTTGCACTTAGAGTGCATTCCACTTAAATCTCACCCTGAGCTACTCTCTTAGCGACGGATAATCCGATAACGTACATGCTCTCTTTGCCTTTGCGACACACTTCGCCATGTGGATCATAGTCACCTTGGTCCCACCTCAACGGGGATCCGTCCACAGTACCAATAGCAGCCGCGCGGATCGATCTCAACGAAGCGATCGTGAACAAGGGAGAATTCTCCATCTCAATCGCCAAGGCTCCAGCTGTGGCGTTCTTGACCCAGGAAGTCTCTTCACAAGGACCGGCATAGAATAGGGCGGAACTCAATGTTATACCTGTGTGACAGTTGTGGACCCCCATATTCTTGGCGGCATCGCGTAGAGCCAAGCAAATCTCGCTATCAGCGATGGCAGGAAAATAGGTTGGAACCAGATATTGAGTAACACCATCTTCACGACAAGCACCGGTACTAACAACAAGGTCACCAGTCTTGATCGTATCGGGCTTGAGAGAGCCACATGTTCCCAATCTCAAGATAACTTTGGCACCACATTTGATAAGCTCTTCAAAGCATATCATAGCACCTGGTCCCCCGATTCCGTGGGAACAAATGCTCAGCTTCACACCCTCGAACTCGACGTTGTAGGAGCGATATTCACGATTGAAGGAGAGCTCCTTGAAGGTATCACAGAACTTTGTAGCCAAAACCTCAGCGCGAAAGGGATCTCCAACGACCAAAACAATAGGGTTTATGTCACCCTCGCATATCTTCAGATGAGGAGCTTCATAAGTCATTGGAAAAAAGCTAGAATTAGATGCACCTACAGGAATTGGGATTCTCAACTCGACGACAACCGTCTCGATTCATGACTTGATCATCAAGCGCACTCAGGTGACTAAAGCTGACTGACGCCGCGGCATGACGAGATTAGATCGTTGCACCATAGAAAAACAACCCGCGGCGTGTGCTCAAACAAGAGTGTCGATATATTTCTGAGGACCTAACGGGAGACCTCGGAAACTCAAGAGTAATAAGAATGACAATAACCCACTAGCAGCCGTCCAACGCAACCAGTTCAATCAAGGGGAACACAGATGAGTGTGAACACAACGGAGGGAATCTAGAAAAACGGTTCCAGATTCCCTAAACGGAAGCGCGCGCCCCAATGGGACAGTGTGGGCACGTGATGACACGGATCATGTGCCGAGTTACTGGTTGAACACCTAAGGGCACACGCTATTGGTCATTTGGAACTTGCTAAGTCACTCACCAAAAGGATAGCGGCAATCGCTACTGCGACAACCATCCAAGTCAGCACTCCTGGGAGGCCTGCTAATGTGCTTGACTGGCTCACCTCTGCCAAGGCGGGGATTCTGTATGCCTATAGACCGTCAATTCACGTAATATAAATTCACCTCCCCACTCGACTTACGTCCTCACATCCCTCAAGAATCCCTATTCTATGCTCAGCTGCGATTCTCCTCGCAAAATCAGAGTGGCCGATCTCCTCGAAATGATCAGTCAAATCCTTGCCTGCGTTACTCAGTATGACCTACACGAACCACGACTTCACTCTGTCATTCATCAAGTGACAGATGCTAGCGTCAGCAATAAGACAGTCGAATACTCACCGTGGGACCGCCTGGGTGCTCGGCGAGAAAACTGGTCACATCGTAGACACCACCATGCAAGATAACCCAACAGTCGGTCTTCTCAGTATGTTCGGCCACCTCTGCAGCTGTTATGATGGGCAGCTCGTTTCTCGACATCTTTTCATCTGCTCGGGACATTTCAAGGTCGACAAGAAAAATCTGTGATGTGTTCGTGAACATTGATCTGTGAAGTCGACAGAAGCAGAAGTGATTAACGAGAACAGGGTTCATATCATGAAACCATAACCATTGACCACAAGTTGAGTCAGAACCCTAAAATTCTGCTGTGATCTGTCCCTGTGAGGGAGAGTGGGTACTGATAAAGCCGTTCATGGCATGCAGTATTCCAATGTGAAGTAGCGGGTGGAAATCATCTCTCCTGGCACTTTGATATCAACTTGGCATCATTCCTCTTCAACGGAATGATATCAATCACACCGCGGTCGAAGGTTTTCACATCTAATAGCCCCCAGGTGAACTACGAGTAAATCGCTAGTCAGCACTTCCCTGAGAGTATCACTCAAATTCGCCCTAGCCGGCACTAAACGGCAAGTTAAACTCGGCAATCAACACACGGCCCATACATGATAAGAACACGAAGCGAAGAGAAATAGTAACGGTCCGTTGAAAAATAATGAGCCAGTCACAGACAGTCGTTGAGTTGAGTCTTAGCATCGAAGCTCAGTAGCACGTGCCACCAATGAGGTGACCCTCCAACAGAAGAATAAGTACTCTCAATTTCGAATTTGGTTGGCTCAGTTCGTACCAAAGTACCTTTCCCCGAGGTCAGAAGCATGCCAGTGGTGTGAATCGAGAGAGATAGCCTACCTGTCACCGAAATCCCCCAGTCCAGGAACAATATAAGCTCGATGATTAAGACAGCGATCGAGACAGGCGCTGAGTATACGTATCTATGAGGTTCGCGATGGGCCGATGACCCAGCGCGGTGATGTCCACCTTGGGGTATCTCGACATGAGACGATCGATTCCTTCAGGACAAGAGACGATGTTGAGGAACACAATATTCTCTTCTTTAGCCTTGCACTCAGTGCTTCTCAGGAGGCATCTTATGGCCTGAAGCCAGCGATGATCAAATTCATCATACAAGTGCCGCATTCTACCATGGTGGAACTTCCAGCAGTACCGAGCATCGGGTCCAACAACAAGATCTTCGGTGAAGTTCTAAAGATTGTGATCAAGTCAGGATCAAACCGGTGTTAACAGCAGCTCCATCCCTCTATTACTTGCCGGACGGCAGTTTGATATAAAATAGTTCAGGCATTGCCGTCTCCTCATCACGTTGGATGAGTATCTTCCCAGTCCTGGCCTCAGGGAATATCTGTCGGACTGGACCCTCCATACTCTCGCCAGCACGAACACTGACCGAAAGTAAGATATTACAACGCTACGCGCGAGTCCGTGAGCTCGTGTGAGGACAAACGGATTATTCACATCAGAAATCGCAGTCCCCTTACACGCTGACGGCAACGAGACCAGCCTCCGAGAGACTAACTCCGTTCACAGTTTCTTGAGTCGGCGTAGTAACACACCTCTCCTCAGACCTGCAAGATGCCTCCGACACTCCATCGACTGCCGCTCACCTTATCCACCCAAGATCGATGGCCGCCCTAATAAGCATACTTGTTATGCATCCAGATGCGCGACGGAAATCCGAACGACCCGCGTTAGAGTCTCGTAAAACCGTCATTTGCGACTTCAAAAAAAGTGTCGACCCGATAACGTGAACACGGCCCTGATGCCTAAACAAGAAGAGGAGCTCCGTGTCGGCAGGCGATATCTCTACCTCCGAGGTCTCACTCACCTCGAAACGGTGCTGAATATCCGTTCCTTCTCAGCACGGTCACTGGCGTCAACGATAGAAGGAGTCATGCCACACATTGTAACCCACAATAGAATGATTCTATTGGAATTCAACTTGAAGACCTATCCACCTGTTACTGCCTCATTTTTCCGGTACGAATCGCGACCTCCCACCCAAAATAAAGTTCAACGATAACGGACAGCTCCACGACACTACCCAGTCAGTTGAATCAATAGCTGAAGATGTATGGTCTACCATCTTACTCCATCAGAATGCATCTACCTATCGAGTGACCGAAAGGACTAATAAACAATCAAAGATTCATATCGTAGCAACTTTTCTCCCGACGTGAGTGTGGCGTTTGACCCCACCACAGCACGGCTTATTTTAATGAGTTTTGCACATATAGGAGTTCGTTTCCTCAGAACTCATCTACACGCACACTCACATTGCCAGTCATTCCCTTGCCCACCAACAGACTACAACTCAAGTCGCTATAGAGATACCACGAGACGCTGAGTTGCTAGAAGTTCTAGTAACACTTCGGAAGGTGCGCTGTCCTCGAGTCGATGTCTTCGAGTCGTCGAAACACGTGCTCGCGTGCGGAATATTCTCTGGATTGTAACCACCATGCTCCCGCCATAATGGAGCAGGAACATCCGCCTATGCTGCCATTGAAATCCGCCTCGTATTAACGTCTCCACGACCATCACTACTAACTTGTACAACAAAGAATTCGAGGAGAGGAAGGGGAGCAGCTCTATCAGAAACTACTCAAACTAATTTAATCAAACCCTGTCTTCTCAGGTAGCCAAAATTAATGCTTCGAAGCGATCTAAAACTCCGTACAGACATACTTGCTAACATCCATCAGGCGGTGCCCTCGAAGGCGGGTGCCATTCACAGTCTCCTCCGTACCGGTAGTGACGCGCATCTCCTCCTCGCATCCACGTCATAGACGATAGCTCTACCACGGCAAACACGGATCCGTAATTGTCTATCACAAGTGAACAACTTGTCGATCGGCAGCCTTATGATAATGTCGTCCGCTGCTCTGCAGAGCTCCGCTGATTCCATATTCCCGTCAAACCGTCATTTACGAATTTTACAAAAATTTGGTCCGCGCAATCTATGCACATTTCGAGGGAGCCCGAGACGACATCCATGCAACTATCCCCCTTAAGAGGCCCCTTACCCGGACTCCCTTTACCCCGCCCCCCGCAATTTAACACTATGTATAACACTCGAACCAGTGGATCAATAAACACAGACAACTTTGAACGATGAGCATCAAGACCTGCATCATTTGCTGCTGCTCCTGATGGCAGCCCTCAAAGCGTCACATATATCCGAACGACAATAGTGCGACAGACGGGAAGAAGAGTGTATAGAAGTGGACAAACGATGTGCTCTACCCTAGTACGACTGACAAACGCCACTGCCTCGTGTTCACATATCGCTCACGCTACTCGCGAAGTGGAGGCCGACACCCCGACTGTTCTTCCGACGGGGTCGCACATTCTCACTGGCCTAAACGGTATGTATCAACCCAGATCAGCATCACCCAGCACCGTACCCTTCCATCTTCCATAACGTCACCATCCTCTCTAGGCTGAGGAGACTCATCAGGTATACGTTCATTCTCCCTTGCACGGGCACGCTCCGCCTCTCGCTCTTTCTTAAGGGCCGCCAAGTATTGACCATAGACGAATCTAAATTCCATGACATCGCATAAGGTGTTTGGAGTATCCCGTACATCCCGAGTCCGATGCAGACAAGAATACCACCCAACACTTGATGAGGGAAAATCGGTTCTCCAAGAAGGAAGTGCGCAAAAATGAAGCAGAACACTGGCTGGGTTACCTAAGGTAAAAGGACCCGACAGTAGCAACACAGAATTGATCATTCGTAAGCTACCTGATAGAGCCCGACCGCGATGGGCCCAAGCTGCTTCACAGCTGCTAATTGGATCCTCCAAGAGATAAGAATGATGAAAAAGACAGAATACAAAACTGCGCCCCAACCTGGGAATCCTAGCATCGAAATGAGGTACCTATGAAAGAGTATACACATGGTCAAACGGGAAGGGACTGTTGCTTGTGACCGAAGGACCCAGGTTCTAGACTCTCACCATGTCCTCGGCATATCCCATCCAAGCACACTAAGTGTGAAGGGTGTCGTGAAAGCGAATAAACAGACGATCTGGTAGAATTGAACCTTGCGAGGAGCGATTAACTGGGCTAGATGATTCGAGCATGAGGTCCCAGAAAGGATGAAGCCAGTGAGATTGCGATAACTATTACCGCCATAGGCCTCATCGTGCTGAGAGCGACCTTCTGCCCAGTTACTTGAATAGATTTAGTCACGGGTACCTGACAGTGTGTAATGGAGTCTTGAGAAGCTGTTGAGGCAGGCATGTCGAAATGCATCACATGCAATCATTATAAGAGAAACAACCCGTTGAATTCAGATCAAAGTCAAGGAACACTTCCTCGACTCTGGCCTGAACTCAACAACTCCCTGACGATGCAGTAACGATTGAACTGTATGTAGCCTCATCGTAGCACGAAGGACGCGGATAACTTACTCCTAGAAGAATGAGAAAGCCCAAGTCCACTCCACCGAAATCGTAACCCTTAGCAGCGATGAACACGCCTATGCAACCGACGAGCATAGATAGGTACCTGAAGAGGTTGAACATAGGAGCGGATCACGTGAACAAGATACGCAATTGCCCTGTCCTGCATTTTATCAGGATGACCATCATGCCCTGCAGTTCCTACTTTATTCTATTCCCCTTCTCTAACCCAAATGCTACTGCCAACATGCAGGTGCAGACGG